TGGGAGGGTAAGGGGGGTGCGGAGGGGGCCCGGGTCGGGGCCGGCGCTTTTGGATCTCGCAGCACACCGAGTGCATCTCGGGTTGGTTGGTGTAGGCCTCGTCTTTCTGAAGCGCTTCCGTGTGGAGGGCGCGCTGCTTGAGGACGAAGTTGAGGACCTCGGCCTCAAAATCGACCGGATCGTGCTTTTCGAATAAATCCGGAGGCCCCGCTGTGGTGCGCGCTGATGGTAAAGATTCCCCAACAACCTTCAGGCTGCTTTCACATTCGAGCAGTTCCACACTAATATCGCGCATGATATCCTTGTATTGCAGAAGTTCCTGTACGCGCTTATAGGCCCCATTGAGTTTTATACCAAGAGCTTGCAAAGATACGTCATTACAGTTCGTCGCAATTGGATCAGATTCACTTGAGTTCAAAAGATTTTCCTTGGCCTTGGGAACTCGACGCGGCGGTGTAGGCATGTCATTTTTTGTGCGGTTTTGCACCGTGTTAGACATAAAGTCAAGAACAGGTTTATGTTTAGTGCCGAATTGAAATACACGTTCTTAGGAAAACTGACCCTATTTTATAATAATAGAAACAGTTCTTATTTGAAAGAAAAATACTGAATTTACCTTTGGGGTTGAGAGTTTTTTTTTAATATAGAAAATGTTATTAATGTATTTCACTAGTCCTTGTCAAAGGAAAAATAACATTTTTAAACGATAACAATTATAAATAAAAATAATTGACACGATAAATTGACGAAAAGGGTACATTTATGGTTTAAATTTTTCATCATTAGTCAGAATAGAGCAGTTTGCGAAATTGATCTAAACAGACATATTATGCAGACAAACTCAGTACAATATTGAGAAAAGATATTTACGAAATAAAAAAACTATACAGGATTAGAAAGTGTATATTCCCACTAGGATTTACTTGTTGAATCTAGAAACAGAAAACACTAAAAAATCCACCTCAGGTCTAATGCTTCAGAGCGCTTAAATGTGTCTATAACACCTATACCCTTTTCATCTCACTTCTATCCCTGGTAACAGAAAAAATGAGATTTATATCCAAGTAAATATAAATGATTAGCACATTACTAAAAAAAAGTGTAAATATATAAGGGTAATAAATAATTCAATTCTTACAAGAAGTATAAAAAATTAGTAAAGTAAGCCATAAGTTTGGAGAGATAAATTAATGATTGGAAGAAAGAAAGGCCTTTAATTCCTTAAATATTTTTATGAATTAACCCAAAAATTATATTTTAAATTTCAGATAAATGCCTGACATCTTGGAATGGAAAAGTCTCATGAAAGTTCCTTCGAATTCACTATACAAGATTCAAAAATAAGAAAAAAACAAAGGCGTATAGGTGTGAAATGACCTTTACATCTGTCGACCTTTAATTGGCATTCTCGGTGACTTTTTCAATTAGGTTAATTCGTCAGTTTTTTGTTGTCTAAGATGACATTCGTATGGCCTCCGCACGATACCAGACTATAATGTGTCGGCGTGGATTAAAATAAAAGGTAGTTGTAAAGTCATAAAGCGCGACTTTATTTGTTTGTCTGGGAAGTTTAACGGTAGCATCCGAAGCGTGCGGTCAAACCTTTGGACATGTCTTTTCCAATATATATTTCCCCTTATCGTATTCTTGTTTGAGGATGTATTTCTGTGGAGTGGTGAATTGTAAGGGATATCAGCTAGAATTCAGAAAGTGCCGAGGTGTGAGTCAAGTTCTTTGATCAATGCCACATCGTATTGTATTTCTCGACAAAGAGCTACTGGCAAGAGCTAAATTGCTTTATAGGAAAGTTCCGCAGATGCATAAGATATGAGGAAACAGGTAGTTTAAAAAGAGATCGAAACAAGCTGGGGAGCGATTCATTAGAGGATGCTATACAGCTCAAAATTCTTTGCTCTGGACACACTTTTGGGTAATAAACATGTCTTTTTGTATTTCGGCGAATAAACTCAAGGATAATAAAGGTCCTACTCAAGGGTTATTGAAATCGCTGAAAAATAAGCCGCCTTTCCCATGTTCGTAAAGTCCATCAGACTCCTTAAGCAGAATGATACATGCACTCAATGCAGTTGATCTAGACTCTGAAATTAGTAAAATTCAATGCCAAGTGAATTAAACGGAGCACCTCAATCTTTATGTTCAATAGAATACTTTCCTAAAGAGCTGATATTAGTCTGCACTATAAGAAATTATAGATCGCGAACGTATTGTTCTGATCTGATTTGTAAAAAGTGCATTCTAGGTAAATAAAAGTATAAAGTATCAATCATAGCTACACAAATGGCAAGCGATTCTTTGCATGTGAATGGCAAGAAAAGGGTATGAGGAAAAAAATACACTTGGAATGAACAAGTCAATTCTCGGAGAGAGCACGTATGTGTTAAAACAGACCATTAGAAGGTATCATTTCCAAAGAGTAATTCTCGGATATTTTGGTATCTACGGTAGATGAAATAGCAAGAATATATTATATAAAAGTAAAATGAAGGATCTAATCGCGCTGCGAAACATGGCATTGAAACAATCCATAAGAAATCTGTAGCTACTCCATATAGCCGTTGACAATATCAATGGATTCAATATGCATAGAGAAATGGAAAGGTTTTCTTGAGGAGATTGTTATGTTGGGAAAAATTCACCTCTCAAATGGTGTAGAGCACCTGCCATCAAATCAGCAGATACATAAAATTATAAAACGCAAAGAATCCTCATCACAATGAACGGAAAATGGAAAATATTGGTGACACATTCTATTAAAAAAATAAAACACGATTGTTTTCATTGCTTGTAATAATAAGTATTAATTCAGTTGCATAGCAAAAAGAATATTATTATTATTAGCATTTGTCTTGTTGCGTAGTGAAGCATGAAGGTGGAAAATTTCTGAGTGGACGTGTGTGTGTGTGTGTGTGTGTGTCAATGAGTTGAGAAAATAGAATTTTTACACCGGCGATCTTATTATTTTTCCCCCCATCAGGTATAAGACACCTTATATTTGATTATTTCTTACCTGTGTTCGCATCCCGATATAATAATCATACAAGCTAGTGCCCCAGGTACTAGGCCGGATTGCATAAACTATCAAAAAAGGGACCACCATAAAGGGCGCTAAAGAACGCGAGACGGTAGGTAATCCCATAAGAGCGGGAAATAAACGGGGAATAAAAGGATAGCGCCACCCCACATCCCCCATCCAAGCCGGGAAAGTCACATGGCTGAGCTGAAGTAAAGAACCAAGGAGAAACCCCGTGGTGATGCCGTAGGTGGCAAGCTGCCTCCTGTACATCCGTTGAGTGAAATCATCCAAGCTTAAATTCCCCATATCCGTGTACGTCATTTCACCATGTGGCTCGTTTTTTATCGATTTGTCGTACTGGTATGTTTGCTGTGAGTATAAAAGACGATACCTGTGGAGACTATACTCAAGGATGGAGCTATTATAGATCCCGAGCAACCCAGAATAGGTAGACGAAAAAAATGCGCGCAGATGGGCATGCCCTCGCCTTTGAAGACCAGAAATACGTCGCAAACCCCAACGAAGCTCGGCATAGCAAAAGGTCGTTAAAAAGTAGAGTATAAACTCCGGCAGGACTTGGGTAATGGCGTACGACATCGCCTCGGTGTATTTCACATCCGCGCGGCTCTCATTAAAGCCACCCATGAGAGCCAAACAACGAACCGACAGGCGGCGCGAGACGACGTCCGAGGTTGATCCAAAAACTCGATTAATGTGTTGTAAAATATCCAACCGGTACTGCAGTTGGGTGACAACATCCGAAAGGGCCTCATCCGAGGACGCATAAGCCAGCAAACGGAGTGCAGCCCGCTGCGCAAAAACCGAATCGGAAAGAATCATTTGCTGATAAATTTCACCATGAGTGAGGATACGCCCTCGGTGCTGCTCCAACAACCCCGAATTGCCAATTAAAGACGACAGCGCCGTACTTTCGGCTATCGTTTTAGAGGAGGAAAGCATCCGACATAAGGAAGGAAAGTTGGAAACAACCTCCTCGGAGATGTGGTGATAAAACACGCCACGCGCTAAAAAATGAGCCGAAATGGGAGATGGAAGAGTTTGAAGAATTAAAGGGGGAAGGCCATGCTGACTTACAACCGCGTATACACGTTCATCGTACATCGCAAAAAGCATAAGCCATTCTAGACGTTCTTGATCCGCCAGGTGGTGATATAGGTGAATGAGAAACCCCATTTTTCCATCCTTTTGTCTATTTTACCGTTTATTTTTCTCTTTGGTATCACTATAGTGCACTATTCACAGTTTATTTTTGTTCTATAGTTTTCTGGTTTAATCTTGACATAAAAAAATTTCTACTAGCGGATCTTTTATCATAAAAAAAAACAAGTACCATATTCAGATAATAATAATAAAAGCGAAAACTAATAATGTCAATGAAGCGATAAATTAGACTCTACATTGTATAGGGCTTGCCCTCCTATGTAATTTTGTTTCATTTTTGATACGATTATGTGTATATATATATAGGTCTAATTGTAATATCAATGTCTATTGCTCGTATGACGTTATGAAAAAAATATGCAATATTTATACGAAATCTTATGCAATGATTAAAAGTTTAACCTAGCCCCATCGAGCGAGTCCTTTATGAAGTCAACGCGATGCATTCGTTTCCATTTTCACGGTTCCTCAACGCATTAAATAACATCCAGGCAGCACAGGTGCAAAGTGATCACCCACTCGTGAGAAAAAGCGTTCTCTTCCCTTCTAAATGGCGGCCTTGTCGAAACCGCGGATGAAGTCTTTCCCATAACACAAGAACCTTATCCCCGACGTCATCGGGTTCACAATTTCCCTTTATTTTTTTAACTGGAGGCTCGATCTGAAAAAGAGATACCCACGCGCGTGTTGGGGAAGTCGAAATGAAAGCAAGCCCTTCGAAGTCAAGCGCACCGCCAAAAGGGAGGGGTGTGAAGAGGGGAACGGGACGCCCACTCCTCACCCGAGTCTGCTTTTGTTTGTTTGTTTAGCAAAGAAATTACTGAAGTCACGCGCTAAGATTTTAAAAATTGACTACTCTGTGGCGATATCGATTCACCCTACGGAAAGGCTCTGCCTCACAAGCTTTTGACGAAACTTGCCCAGCGAAAGATTGGAATACCGCTCCCAGAAGTTTAAATCTGGTGCAGTATTGCGGTATTGATAATGAGAAATAACAGGGAAAAAATAGTATGTGCTTTGTGGCGAATCCTATTCTGACAAATAAACACCCCCTCCCCTTCCCTCCCAATCACTTGTAAATCTAGATATGATAAGATACAGATAATACATCGCGGGTAATAGAATGCACATCCTCGTCTGAGAAAAAAAATGACCCCCAAAGAACGGCTCAACAGAACTGGACCATGAGTCTTTACAAAGTTCTCAGCAAAGAAACGTAGAGGGATTGGGATGCCCCCTACGCTATGCCACAATGTAGGAAATGATCAGCCCGTCCTTTCGATTTCATCTTTTCCATCAGAATGCCGATATTTACAAATCGCAACTCCATTCTAGTTGCTTTGGTAACGTTGATAGTTCGGAAGGAGGCCGGTGAAAGCAGTTATGGGGGCGTCGGCGCAGTGCACTATTACGTCCGACCCGGTGCAGGCAAGTGAAAGACGACGTAAACCCTTCGACATCAATAAAGGACAAAGCTTTTTTTTATTCTAGAAAGAGAAGCTCTAGGTCGTTCAGCTCACCGTAAGGAGAAGGCTAGAATATGTTGAATAAGATACCAAAACAATTGGTTCTCGCTTTGGGGTTAGTTGAGTGAACACGTGGGCAGACTTCATAAAAATATATGTGGTACTAATTTCGCCGCATTGCGCCTTTATATGGGCACAAACACAGTTTGACTTGGTTATCCACAACACATGGCAAATAATCACAGTCCAGTGATGGCATGTGTGCTCACTAGGTGTACCATTATGGTAAGGAAACAAAATAAAGCCGCAAATGATGTGAATAAAGTGTAGAAATAAGCTGCAATCGAAAACAGAAATGTTATCGGTATAATCGAGGATAACAAAAAATGTCAGGTTCACAAAATGCAGGCCAAACACTCAGCCCGAGTTCACTGTGTTATGTATAATTAGCCCCATATTGCATTTAAAAATATTAGGGTTAGGTATACTGGATTACTAAAAGGTTAAGACAATATGGTCGAATTAATGTATCTCAAATTTTTTCCGTTACCTCAATATTTAGAATGTCCAACATTTTCTTAAGGGTTAAACATGTAAGTTCGACTAGACACAAGCGACTTTCTTGCAATGTGTCGTTAATAACGCGACAATTTGTAAAAAAATCCGAGAAACAGGACATTAGTTCAGCCGCAAAATCTGTAAGATGATGTGGAAACAGATCCTCAAGTGTCTTCAAAATGGTTGATTGAAAACGGAAATTTTGAAGTAATAATTGCCTTTCACTGCGATGGGTTATCGAGATCTTCGCTGTTTGCTTCAGCTTCTCAACATCGACGTTCGACTTACGTTTTATAGAGCAAATACGAGCATACTGATAAAGCAAATAGACCGCAGTATTACCAGACATATCTAGCATCTTCTCAAAGTTAAATGCGTAGTCGTTCACCCTGGTTTGCTTCAGATCAAAGTACTTGACAGCCCCAATCCCAATAATATTGGAAAGCCGTTCCGTATCCTCCTCGGAGTGTCCCTGAGCACGGTCAGTCATTTCGCGCTGTTTTAGAATTAAATGAGAACGAGCGACGGCCTCATCTAACAAATCCTTGAGTTTCGCCGTCTCGCCAGAGCGTGTTTTTATTTTCTTTCCATCCTCACCGGTGACGAGGCCGAACCCGGCGTGGTCCCAGGTAGAATTATCCATCCAATGCATATCTTTAGCGACCTGTGTTATCATAACAAAGTGCTCGTATTGTCCGACGTCAGTACAGTAAATGACACGATTACATTTATCGACCATTAAACGATGATATATGCAAGCCAAGTCGGTCGTATCGTAGGTATAGCCGCCATCGCTTTTCATCGCCATAATAGGAAAGGAAAAGCGCGGCACGATGATGGAGTCACCTTCAATGAGGCCCTTCTCCTGAAAGACTTCGCGAAAGAGGGGATCTAAATTTCCCTTGTATAGAGGTTCAAGTTTATTCATCAACTTATCCAAATCTTTGCGAATGTCGAACGTACTCCACGGTTTCTGTTCTTTCTTGGAGAGTACCACAACCTCATGCCCTGGTTCCCCACTGAAAATCCCACATTTTTTCATCGCCAGGAATAAGTTTGGGTGGTAGTATTTTTGCCCACTTTTACTCATTTGTGCAAGGTGCTGAGCAGATAGCTTTGTCATATCTTTAGAGTCCAACTCGTTCAAGTTCTTTTTGACCTTACCAATGATAACTTTGGCACCATCGTTTTTCTCAATAAGATCAGCCTCCTCAAGCATCTTTAGCACCACTGGAATCAAGTCATTATAGAAGCTTTCGCCACGTTCCTCAATTCGCACACCGAGGCGTGAGTAGACTTTGTTGAACTCATTGCGAGAGACATCACAAATCAACTTCCAGGCTTTTAGGGAATTCTCTTCGTGGGCCTGAAGCTTTACCACCTCCAAACGAGCCTGTTCCTTAAAATCCTGGTCTTCATCAAAGCATACCTTTGAGGCACGGTAAAGATCCGTAAGGTTTGATATATCAGGTGGGTTTGTGATGTAATTGGGATAGTTGCGCTTGAGGTATAAAATAAGCATGCCAAAAGCCGTTCCCCAATCGCCAACATGGTTGATTCGGAGAACGTCAAAATTACAGAATTCAAAGAGACGGGACAAACACTCGCCAATAATGGTCGATCGTAAGTGACCAACATGCATTTCCTTCGCTACATTAGGTGAAGAAAAGTCCACCAACACTCTTTGAGGGGGAACCTCTGGAGGGATGATCCCACTAATAAGCACTTCATGGGCCCTGTTCACTAGCCAGTCGTTGCGAATAGTAATGTTAATAAATCCTTTGGGTGTTGGTTCAAACTTCTCGATAAGATTGTTCTCCTGCAGATGTTTTTTTAGTTCTTCACCAAGTGCTTGTGGGGTCATTTTAACAGGTGGATTGGTCTGAACGAGTAGCTTTGAGAGACCCATGGCATTGTTGCATTGATAATCGGCCACTTTCCCTGAGGTGATAAGTGGTTCAGGCAAAGCAGCTGAGAGTTGAGGAAAGGCACTTGCCATCGCACCACGAACCAACTCTTTCAACAAGAGCTCAATATTGGCTGTTTTTAAGACAGATGTCATGATGTAGTGTATCAATATAAGCTCAGATAAACCTATTCGTCTTAACGTGTGTATGTGTCTTTGAGTGTGTGTCCTGCATTAGAAAAATCAAAAGCCAAGGTATGGAGGCAAAAATAGATAATTTCTTTTGAAGTGACTTTGTTTAAAAGGATAAAAATTAAGTGTCCAAAGATCGTTTCACGGGTACAGAAGTTATATGACAAAAATGGAAAAGGTAAACAACTTAATAAAATTTGTTAAAAAAATATATGGGGTGAAAACATGTGACATGCAAGAAAAAAAGGATAAAAATTGCGTACACAGAGTAATAATGTCCCTGAACGAAACGAATATATCTGAAAAAAAAACATTAGATAATTTGTGTATCATTTTTTCACCTTTGTTTTCCTATTCATCTCGAGTAAAAGCACTGTTTTAACTTAAATTTACGTCCCGTAATATATTGTCCTGACACTGACCCATTAGTGATGCTGTTGTGTAAATCTTCGCGCCAATTTAAATTCGCATATAAAACTTCGGTGGTTTGAAGTAATAATAAAGCAACAGAGTGAATCACCCTTGTATTTCATTCCTTAATATTAGTTAGCATACTTCATGTTATACATATGAATACTTGATTCTTTATATCATCGATATCACATGAATAAACTTGTCAGATCCAAGATCGATTTGACTGAATCAAGATGCACAAGCCAAATAACAAATATGCAGTACATTATCATTTCCCCGATCACACACACAAACACAACATTCCTAATACAACTTTTCTCTATAATTTGTATAAAAAAATAATGACCATAATAATAATAAAAGCATTTAGTTAATCCATTCCCTTGGATCATTTTATTTATGCGCTCCTTTCCTTCTCATTTATGCCGATTATGCTGAGGAGCCTTAGGCTTTGGATCATTTAGATGTTCACGCCAGTCATCCTGTGGTTCCGCATCTGGGGACGTCAGAGGAGCATCTCGGGTATCATAGGAAAGCTTCAGCACGGCTTCACGAAATTCCTGCTCATTGGTGTATTCCTCAAAGTTTACCAGATCCTTAATGTCAGCGAATTTGCCTGTGTCCATCTGACTGACGAACTGGAAGGAAATACCCACAGTGCCTTGACGACCGGCTACCAATGACTGTACCACATAGAACTCATCACGCGGAACGTTAAGATTAATGACAAGGTTCACAAATGGAATAATCGTCTTGCGCGCAAGTTTGGCATAGTCTTCATTGGTCACAAGAAGCCGCTGCTTCACTCCATTTTCATTTTCTGCACCATGCTTAAACTCTTCTAGATTTTTCATTCGCTCTTCCTTTGACATTTTACGGTACAGAAACTTTGGATGCACACCATTGAAATGTTTCGTCAGGCGCTGAATACCGCCTTCAGTGGCGAACGATTCCACACGCTTTTGCTCGCAAAACATAATAGCTTGCACTCCTTTGACCTGCGAGATAATCTTGCTCACGACATCAAGCTTCTCCCTATCACCGTTGGTGCTAGTAACGAAAAAGTGTCGTACACTCTGAGGGCGCACAAAACGTACAGTTGATACAATGCTTCGGATAACTTTCTCTGAAAGATGATGAGGGGTACCCTCGTTCAGGATGTTGCACGCAGCCAAAAGCTTAACGGCGCGCGTGTTAATATCCAGTTCATTGATAAAGTACTCAGAACGAATCTTTCTCTCCTCCCTACCCTTCACGCCCACCACGCTCAGCATTGCTTCAGCGGCCTTTTGTAGCGAATCCTTTGAATTGCCATACAATTTAAGTGTAAAGGTTTCTTGAGAATCGTCCACCATTAAGAAGCGCTCGTTGTATGTCTCATATTTATCATTGATATACTTTAATTTAGATCCATTAACGCCAATAAGATATTTAAGATGCTCTGTCGGGATAGTAACCTCTTGAGAAAACTCGTAAGACGGTCGACCGACATCGACATGCGGTTTCTCCAGTACATTTTCCTGAACCAGATGACGTAAGGATTCGTCATGGCTATAGCGGCAGGTCTCCCCATACTTGCACCCTTCTGAGCTAAAAAAATTCCGACAAGGTCGTGAGCTTTCACTCCCATTCTGCCCTCCATTTCCACGACCACGAGCGAGGTCGCCCCCACCACCCCCACTGCCGCCTCCACGACCGCGTCCACGGACGATGGTGCCTCGGTAGTCATTAGTCCCAGTTCCGATCGGGTGGATCTCTGCGATTCGCGGGGGGTAGGGCTGCTCCGGCGCCGCCGCCCGCCGCGTCTGCAGGTTCCCACGGCTGTTAATCGCCTCCATCAGCTTCTGCCGCATCGCGTCGTCCGGGACGACTTTCCGAAGCTGTTCCTCCGTGAGCTTGCGCAGTGACACAATCCGATTAACGTTCATCTCCTTAAACTTCGGGATCGCTTCGGGCATGTTGAGACGAAGGAGCACGGTCTCTATGGTTTTCTGGTTTTGACCGCTCATTGGGTATAGTGAATGTTATTGCGAACTACCTTTTACGTTTTTTTTTAGTCTATTTTTTGACTAGTGTTTGGTTTACTGAAGATGGGTGTATCACGAACAGCGGGAAAAAGAAAAACGAGGTCAGCAAGCGTGGCTGCATTTCATTCAGATTCTACCAAACTTGGTTATCCAAAAATATTAATTCACCCAACTGCAGATAGTTTTAAAATAAACACAACTAATCTATATACAATAATTTTTAAAAATGCGTTTTCAGACCACAGATTCTAATTCGTGAATGGACATCTACATCTGGCTTAAATATGTTAAACCGGCATACATAAACCCTACGCTAATGGCTCGATCGAGGTTTTCCTTTTTTTGCGTTCGAACACAAGTGTCCACTTCAGATCATCCATTTCGATACTCGTCCCGTATTGTCCATAATCCAATGTTGGTAATGTTGCATCAATAGTCGGACTGTCGGCGCGGCACAAATTTTGGAGGATATTTTTGCACCATCGAAGAATGCCTTTACACAAATGCACATATTCAGCCTGCTTTTCCTTTTTCAGGTGAGCCAAGACGCATTCGCGCGTTGATTCTTCTAATCCTGTATTAGTCTTTTGATTCATAGTTAATTCCGAGAGACGCTTCAAAGCATATCGATAAATATTAATTACAACCTGCATACCTCCACGTCGAACTGTCAGTTCGCAATTTGACTCATCCAGTATCGTCATAGTGCTTAATAAAAAACAACCACCAAACAAAACATCTAATGACTTCATTCGCTGTTTCATAGCTTCCAAAACATATGGAATCCCAGGGCGAAGACATTGCCTAACATATCCCTCCCTTGAAGAAAGGGTACTCATGAGGTCAAACATATAAAAGAGTGTTTCATTTGACAGCTCTGCTTGCGATTGAAGCACTAGAACACACAAGGCAGGAAGCCCATACCGAGAGGCAAGGGATAAATTCTCATCAATGAGGCATGCATTAGCTAGAAGCATGATTAATGCTCCCGTGGCGATGGAAACCCTAGGAAGTTCTTCTAGTAGATCAATACACTGGCACATGAGTTCCTCAGAAAATTGAAGCGAATGGGCAGAAGCATGCTGAGACACAAGCTCGAGCTCCGCAACCACCTTTCGAGCCTCCAGGTCATCTGCGAGACCAAACGCAGAGATCCTATTAATCGCAGTTTGAAGCTTGTCCATCTCCCTAGCAAACTACATGGAATCTACACAAATGACGATTTCAGATATAATTAGTGATAATGACAGTAGAGAAGGATAGTTCTCTCATGTAAAAAGAATAGTCTACGTCGTTTTTCATTCTAAAATAGTCAAACAAATTATTTTACGTATATGCATTTTTTGCATGATACTTTATATTTTACATAAAAATTAGGATAGCTTACAAAGTATTGATGACACTATAGCCTTCAGATACACGAATACAAAATCCATCCGGCATGGCAGCGTTTTGGCTACGTGCTTCGGTGGCGGCTGAGCAACCGCAATGCTGGAAACTCAGCAAGGTCAATGTTTTGAAAGCGCCACTCGTGGCGGTATTCAGCAACTTAGAACAACCATCATCACCGAGGTAGTTCCCATCCAACACCAACGTTGTAAGCGACGTGGTGGCCACAATACCCTTAATAATGGAATCGACCCCAGCTGCGCTAATTCGATTGTTGGCTATGATAATTTGCTCTGTAGCATTCTCACTTATAATTCTTGAAACCAAAACTGCACACGTATCGTCCAATCCGCACGCACTGAGGTTAAAGGATTTAATAGTGTTGTTGAATAGAAAACCCTGTGACAGCAGAATCTGACATCCAGCGGCACCGAAGTGATTCCATTCCAAATTAATCTCACGTAAGTCAGCGTTACGAGAAAGAACCTTGGCAAGTTCTATTGCTCCAATATAGCTCAGTTTGTTGTAGCTCAGGTCCAAATGCTGTAGCGTTATGTTCTCGGCTAGTGTTTCGGATAATATTTGAAGGTCAGCATCGGATAGATGATTGTCTCCGAGAGATAACTTCGTAATAAGGGATCCAGAATAAATGAGCTTCTTGATTACATCACCACCACGCAATGAATAGTTGACGCCTGGGAGTGACTCGACAGCTCCTATATGATTTGAAAAAAAGTTTACCTCCGTCACATTTCTGGACTCAATGATAGCATTAACAATAGCGAGCGCACCTGATGTTGTGATATAGTTGTTCAGTAATATAAGTATTTGTATAGAACTATTAACCCGAAGTGCAGCAGCGAGCGCAAAACTCCCTCGAGTACCAAGTCCAGCACAAGAAAGATCCAGAATATCGTTAGAATTTCTTAGATCACTTGGTACACCAATCATAGGATAGTCTGAAGAATCAACATCTTTGTCACTTTGATAACTTTTCTTATATGTTTCAATATACACGAGAGCCCCGCTTGGGTCACTATCAGGTGTTTCGGGAGTTGGAAAGGAAAATCCTTGCAGAGCTCTCAGCTTATCGTCTATAACTTTCTCACGAATTTTGGTCATCGAAAGTTCTATCTCAGAGTTAGAAACGGGAAATTCAGTAGAACTATGACCCATTTCGTCATTTTGATCATGCTCCATCGATATATTTATCCAGACACCAATTTCTATAAGCTTGGCGTTGCTAGTTGGTATGGGTTCATTCTTTAGATAAAATAAATAAGAGGAATGGATAAAAAGAGTCAAAGATAATAATATAACAAGATATTTTAATACAAAAAACTGTAAATAAACTGATTGTTTGATATTAGGTATATGCATCTATCTTAATTATTCAAGATATGGGAGAATATGTTCATGGCAAAATGAAATAGCAGAATCCATTCCCTTTTCTATATACACAACCGTGATAAACGCTTTTAAGCATTCGGCTAGAAACGGATCAGGCATTCCATTCTTCTCGCCTACAGCTAGCCACTGCATTAAACCCTTAGCAGATCTCAATTTCTCACGAGAAAACAAATTGGCTGAGGCGTCAGTTAGCACCATGTTCTCTAGTCTCCACACATCTCTGACTATACGAGAAAGAGATAGATCACTGACTAAAACAGCTATTAAAGAGGAAGCCTCTTCTCGTTTTAAATCCTCAAAAATCTGAAAAACCCATCGACAAACTATATGAAGAAGTATAACTTCGCCCAATGGAGAAAGCTGGCGCATTGTAGTAGATTCTATTTTGTCTGTTATAAAGCTGGGATGAATAAAGGCCTGAAGCTGGCGTGTTTGATGGGCCAGTTGAAGCTCAGGGAATACAGTTTTTATTTTTCGAGATAGTTCGGCAGCCCAACGGGGTGGTGGTATAAGTGAAAGTGATTGAACTTTAAGTTGTGGTCGCTCAAGTATTTCCTTTAAAGACGTAGCCATCGTTTGATTAGATATGCCTGATACAACGTGAATAAAGGATGTACCTGATCGAACTATATATGAACGTCGTAGCATCCTTACTTATAATACCGTTTTATTTGTTTTAATTAGATATATTAAACAATAAAAACGCTACTAAACACATATCATAAACTGAAAAAAAAAGGTAGAAAGTGCAAGCTGAACAATTTCAGAATTAGATGGTATTATACAGAATCAATATCAAAAAAGGTAAAAGATTAATATAAAAAATTCGACAAATAAATAATATTTGAATATATTAAGCAAAGAGTAGAAATCTATATGTATACTTATATGAATACTCATAAATTTTGAAAATAGGATTAAAAAAAGGCCATACATATTTCATTGAACTATAATATTATTTAACGCAACAAATATATATATATAATAGACGTTAAAAATTCAGAATAATATTGTCAACCCTATTTTTCCAGTAATAAAATCCTTTTATAATCAATGAGAATTTATTCGAACCCTACTACAAATTTTAATGAACATAAAATATGTGCCCTTTTAAATAATTGACATTGATTTCGTGAGTTTTGTCATCAGTTTCCCTAATTTATTTAGAATTCAAAAGTCGACCAGGTGTAATTTAATACATTGAGGCATGCAGAAGCTATTTAAAAGTCTCAAATACTAATACAGAAATAAAAAATTTCTATATTGAATATATTTTTAATCAACATGCTAAAGGTGAATAAATAGTACCATAGTACAATTATTCATGCTACTTTGTGTATTAATATGCCACTTTTTAAAGACAAACTAAGGATAATAAAGACTGATCAAAATATTACTCTAATTTTTATGGTCAGATGTAGTGCTGATAAATATATATGAATATAGATTTATGTTGTGTATACGTAAAAAAAAAAAGCGTAATCATTTTTTTTTAATTTCTCAAATAGCAAAGAATGTATGCCTGTCGAAAATCGGGATTATTTGCAACAGTAACCCTTTCGTCACTAAAGTTAAACCAAATATTATCATTGCCAATAGTGTCGGAGGTATAATGACCCCCATGCACATTTCCTTGATGATTAATAATACCCGCTAATGAAAATTTCGTCTTGGAAAAATTTGAAGAGATAAATGGTGAAAGATCAAGGCTACGTTGAAAGAAAACCTCAGAATTTATTTTTGCTAAATTAGAAAAATCCCCATATTTCCGAAATCGTTTCAATGTAATAAATAAAACTTCCGGTGTAGAAAAAAATGAAAGCTGCTTTGTCGCATTCACTTTTTTATTACACTTTGGACATAAATAAAGAGAATCATTTGAGAGAAGCTCTTTTGCACAATAAGCATTGAGGCAATCTTCTACTGATACAGTGTTTCCTTCTATAATTGGCAATTCCACACCAAGGGTTGTTTGAAAGGAACGACTAGACATATCACACAAAGGGCACGTAATACAACTCCGTTCTTGAAATGCACAAAGCGTAGTTATAATGGATGAATTCTTCTGGGAGTACTGCCACCAGTATTTTCGTGATAATTCCTCGTCAGTACCTTTACAATTATCAATTTCTGAGAATTTCACAATTTTGCCTTCATTTTCATTCAACCCAGAATGCAGCATATCGAGAAGTATGCGAAGAAATTCATTAGCATCTTGTTGAATCTTATTATCAAAGGTTTCACAAACTACTCCAATAGCACCTTTTAATGTTGACGCACTGATAGCAAAAGAAGTTTCAGTATGAAAAAGTTCGCGTATAATAAACGCAAAAGCGTTCACAACTCTAACAATTTTGTTATCTACATTAGAAAACAACTCCATGTAGTCGTCCTGCAAAAAAAACTTTGCCAGAGGTGTAACATTAATTACCTGCAAAACACTGTTCATGTAACATGAATTTCCAATATTAACAATTCCACGTCCCTTAGCTGAAGAATCTTTAGATGCATTGAACGACCATTTGTACAATACTGGTCTACTATTTAAAGGATGAATACAAGTTTCAGTTAATCCTGTAGGTAGTGAATATTCAACATTACTGATGTTTCCCTTTTCAAAAATATTATTCTCTTCTGGTACAACAGTTGTGGTTTGTGACAGAGTAGATGAATCCTCAATTGATGTTTGTAGTTGTGATGAATTTGTTAATGAGTTAAGACCAAATAATTTATTACGAAATTCATGAAGTTTTTCACATTCATTATCTAAAAGTTGATCCCTTCTCAAGTTATGTAAGCTTCTATTATCTTCAAGTGTCATACTTGTGTCTGTTTCCATCTGCAATGCAATCATTTTTTTGCGTGCCGGCTCATTGTCCCTTATTTTTTTGATCATTTCTTGATATTGTTTATTCAATTCACTACCGCTTAAAATATTTTCAACAAAGTTCATCACCTCCTTAATAAATAATCGGGCACCTTTATCGTGTTTTCGGACATCAATGGAGGTTTCTTTATGATCAAGTAGTGCCACAGTCCTGAGTGCAAAATACAATGCCATATCAAATTTTCCATTATAGAACTCTTGCTTTGCACGATTAAACACAAGCTTTGATATACGAAAAATTTGTGCCGGATCACGCATTCTGTGTGTGTACGAGTAAGCGTGATGGTAAATAGTACGCTTATAGGCCTCAAACGGAATTTCAGTATCAAGATTAAAAAGTGACATTAAACCTTGTTCTACACTTTCAGTAATAAAAATAATTAAAAAAGCAGGAATTTAATATTTAAACAATAAAATTGAATAAGCGTCATACAGATGAACGTTTATTATTATAAAGTACTTTTTGGCTTAAAACAAATATATTCGCCGTCAAATGTGTTTTTTTTCTGGATAGATTTTGATAAATAATGACACCGTCACTTGCGTTACCGTTGGAAGGCGGGGCCTCAATAAAAGGAAAGATGGGCACAATCATCAGATATTTTGCGAGTTTGTTTAAAAACAAAAGAAATAATGTGTCTTTTCTTCACTAATCCGTGGAGAGTGCGCCCGCAACTCAAAATTATTAGGTTAAGGGTTTTGGCGTAAAATTGCTTATTTTTTATAAAGGGTGGTCGAATTCGACACTGAGAAACTTTGCCAGCCCTAGTTAAATAGATCTCAATATTTAGAGGGAAATCCACAGTTTTTGTGTGTGTAAAAAAGGGGGAGTGACTATTTTGGTTTTGGTCACAGGCCTAGGGTTGTTATCGGCGGCAATTCCATCCCGTTTAAGTGGCTATACATTGTTGGGCTTTATAGGGCGTAATTCTCCCAGTTTAACAACTTTGCTCGAATGCTAAATTGTAAAGCCATTTGTGACAGGTGTTACTTTTATTTTCACGGAAAAGAACCTGATTCATCTCTCATGATTTTATATTTACCTTGTCAGTATTTACAGTCTCGGTACTTAGTTTTGAAGCATTGGTTTTTATTTTATTTAGATAACCCTTTATCCAATTGAAAATTTTACAAGGTGTAAACATTTTCTAATAATTATAGTAAGTTCTTCTACAGTTGGCCACTTTTACGTATATTATGATCAATGGCGAATCAAACTTTCTTTGCTTTTCTTCACTTTGCATATTTTTTTGAATACTGATCTTATGAATCTTCTTTTTTGATGTACTAAATATTGAGGGAGATTCTTTTTACGAAATATACTTTTCAAAACCTTTACTTTGGAAACTCTTATTGTATGTTTTTAAATATTAGCCCTTGAACTATTTAGTCTTGTCTTACGAAATTCATTATTTATTATTTTAATTTGTCTAAGCCTATCATGATCTTTATCGCTATTTATCTTTCTGTAGCTTCTTTCATATTTTTATCCCCTATATACATACCCCAGTAGCATTTTAGGGCGATCCTATATTTTTCACTGCAGCATTTAGCGTCACCGTGTATTGTGTCACACAGAAAAAAGGGTTTAGCATGCCCTTAAAACGGTGATGAAGCTTTTTTGCCGAGATTATTTTTCTAGGATGGATTAGATTTCTACATTTTTATTTTTCATCACCATCAGCAATTTAATTCTATTCACCTACATTAATATATATTGTCATTATTAATAACCTTAACTTACTAGCTATGAGACTCGCATTTCTAATACATCTTTCTTTCAATGCTTTATTACCTTTTTAATTATTTGATTTATTTGTCCATAATTTTTTATTATCAAAATTGGAGGATAATAATATAAATATTAAGTGTTATATTTATGTGTATTCTCTTCTGAGAAAATTACATCCATTTCAAAGCTTTTTAAAAAAGATATGGTTTAATCTTAAAACTTTTTCAACGATTTTAATGGACAATAAAGCATTTTTATTATTCCTTTAATTATTGCAAATATTATTTATCTCTTTTAATTCTTTAATTCAATGTTGCTAACTTTCGGGATTGATTCTAGGTGCTTTTACTTATGAAGTTCAACTGCAGGTCGATATATGCTGATTCTTTTGGCGGTTATGCATTATTGTGTACGTCAAATACAAAAAAAAAACATATTAGATATTTCTGGTATCAGTTTTGGGGTGTTATAAAAATAGTGTCCTTAATTTGTTTATTTTTACACATTAATTATTGAATCATTGAATGTATTGCTGATCCTCCAGAATTCAACGTACCACACATGTTTTTCATTTTAAGAATTGGACTTAAGTGTGTTGTATTTCTCCCATGCTTGTTGTATAAATTAATATTTGTTTATTTCTGGTGTTTGTTTTAGTGAGGACGTTGATCATATTAAAGATGATCTTTTACATATTATTTTACATTTATTTGGTGATGTTAGTGTTATTATCCCAAATACTTTTTCATATTGTTTTGTATCTTAATATTGGTTCCAAATTGTATCGTCTTTAGAGCAACTTCTACATTTATTTTTGCTTTCTCGTTACTTATCAAGTATGAAAAATATTATTATTAGCGAGTCCTTATTTGTATACAAATCTATGTAAAAAATTATGGGGAAAAGTTTATTCAAACTTTCTTTATCTGAGGTATGTTTACAAATTATGTGGATATATTTCACTACATCTTATGAGTTGTTAGTTCTTAATTAAATTCTAAATAATAGCATTGCCTATTTTATTGTTTGATATATTATACAGAATATAATTGAAAAATGATTAGTAAGAATATTACAATTGTAAAAAGTGAATATTATTATACATCTTTAGTAAATTGCCCTTTTATAATAAAATAAAATAGTTTTATGCACTGTTCTTTAGTTAATTATGCTTTTTTTTAATCAAATTAATTTGGAAATGAAATCAGCGAAATAAATAAATCTATGAATAAAATCTGCTGCTAACATGATAGACCGTGTTTTATTTAAATATTCACTTTTCTCTATTGTTTTTTTTATTTTTTTAGTAAGGTTTATCTTTTTACTTTGTTTTTGTTGTTATTAATCATGTTCTTCTCTAATCAAGCCTCTCAAGTTTTACGAGATGGTGCCGCTGAAGAAAAAGGAGAGCGAGCGCGCTTGATGAATATCATGGGTGCTATTTCCGTCGCTGACATTGTAAAAACTACTTTGGGACCTAAGGGAATGGACAAAATCCTTCAAGGAATGGATCGAACTCAAAATGTTAGGGTAACAAATGATGGTGCCACTATTCTCAAGTCATTGATCATGGACAATCCAGCTGCAAAGATTTTAATTGATATGAGTAATACGCAGGATGAGGAAGTCGGTGATGGAACTACTAGCGTTACTGTTTTAGCTGGTGAACTCCTTCGTAACGCTGAAAAACTTTTAGATCAATCAATTCATCCACAAACAATTATTGATGGTTATCGTATGGCAAGTATAGCCGCTCACGAGGCTCTTGCTGCTTCCACTGAGGACCATGGTAACAATAAAGAACTTTTTTATGAGGATCTTATTCGAATTGCTAAGACCACGTTAAGTTCTAAAATTATCACTGTGGAATCTGACCACTTTGCCAAGTTATGTGTTGATGCTGTTCTTCGCCTTAAGGGGAGTGGGAACCTTGAGATGATTAATATCATGAAAAAGCTTGGTGGTACGTTGCGCGACAGCTATTTGGAGCCTGGATTTCTTCTGGACAAAAAAATCGGAATCGGCCAACCTCGTTATCTTGAAAACGCTAAAATTCTTGTTGCCAATACTCCCATGGATACTGACAAAATTAAAATATTTGGAGCGAAGGTTGCTGTTGAAAGTGTTGCGGAGCTGGCCGAGGTTGAAGCATCAGAGAAAAGCAAGATGAAGGCTAAATGTATGAAGATCATAAAACACAACATCAACTGTTTTATAAACCGCCAACTTATCTACAACTATCCGGAAGAGATTTTTGCACAGCATGGCATCATGGCTATTGAACATGCAGACTTTGATGGAATTGAGCGCCTTGCGAAGGCTCTTGGTGCTGATGTGGTTTCTACTTTTGATGAAACCGCAAACGTCCAATACGGTTTTGCTGAGCGCATCGACGAATTTATGATTGGAGAGGGAACCGTGATACGCTTTTCAGGGCTACCGAAGGGTGAAGCGTGCACGATTGTTCTTCGAGGTACGTCTCGCCACATCTTGGATGAAGCTGAGCGATCGATCCATGACGCTTTGTGTGTCATCTCCGAGACCATCAAGGAGACACGTACTGTTCTTGGTGCGGGATGTTCTGAGTTTTTAATGGCACAAGCTGTTGAGGAGAAAGCTAAATCGGTTCCTGGGAAGAAGCAATTGGCAATGCTAGCCTTTGCAACTGCTATTCGAACCATTCCCGCAATTATTGCTGATAACGCCGGCCTTGACAGCAATGATCTGGTGACACGTCTGCAGGCTGCTCATTTTAAAGGTGATCGCTCCTATGGGATTGATGTCATAAAGGGTGATATTGCTGATGTTAAGGAACTTGGTATTACAGAATCCTATAAGGTAAAGAGTTCTGTCGTAGCATATGCATCAGAAGCAGCTGAAATGATCTTGCGTGTTGATGAAGTTCTCCGCGCTGTTCCTCGTCAACGCACACGAGAGTAAGCCATAAAGCGAAGAACATTATTGGATGGTGATCATTTCTAAATTTGGGGAAAATATTTATTTGATAGAAGGTTAATAAAAATGTGAGTATTGTCTGTAGATAAAAAATACAATATAATGAGACTAAAATATTTGCCAATAGTGCAAAATATTTCTCTATTTACATATTTCCTAGAAGAAAAAAAGCGCCGTGAAAATACTTGGAAATGATATTATATCGAATATCTTAAGAATTTAAACTCTTTAATTCTTTAATAACTCTGTGATACGCACAAAATATGGTTTTGTGGGTAAGTTCACTTATTGGAACACCCTTATTTATTGTTAAGTGTGTATTACGCGTTTTTTCTTTAGAAAAATAGACATTTATTCTCCTCGACTAGTTTTTTTTTTTGAAATATTTCTATTATAATTAGTTCATTATTTAATATTTACCTCAGTTGTTGTGTTTGGGGTCATGAGCACTAAGTACACTGCACCGACAAGCAGACCGGCGGTTGCACTTGCACCAGCCGAAAGCAACAGTAATAATACGTCTGATATTACAAAAGTAAAGCTTTGCTCTGGACATACACGTCCTGTTTGCCATATAAATTACAGTGAAATCATTAACGGGACCTTTTGGTTTGTAACTTCCTGCCACGATGCAAAGCCGATGCTACGCAATGGGCAAACTGGGGACTGGGTAGGCACCTTTGAAGGTCATAAAGGGGCCGTGTTTTGTTCTGCCTTTAATAATGCCGCCACGTGCTTAGTTACCGGTAGTGGTGATTACTCTGCTATGGTGTGGGATGCGATTAATGGGCACAAGTTGCACTCCTGGAATCATCCTAAATACATCAAGTCTTGCGATTGGATGGAGAATAAAATTGCCACTGGTTGCTTTGATGGAGTAATTCGTATCTACGACGCGAATAAGTATGATGCGGATCCGGTTTCTTTCGGAGAACCGGACGCTACTAATGTCAAAGCCACCTATTTTATTGATCCTAACACCATGGTGACATCGTGTGAAAATACTATTCTAAAATGGGATTTGCGTGATGTCTCAGCTCCGTACTTGCGTCTTGAGATTCCCCGCCTGAACTTTCTGGAGTACACCCATCGTCATTCCATAGTTGCTGCCCATGAGAAGAGCATCAGCTTTATTGATACAACCTCCTTGGAGATTAAAAATAGCTTCACCACTAGCGAAGGTGTGGAGTGTGCTTCGCTTTCACCTAATGGGCAAAATGTAGCGGCAGGGTCAAAGTTGAAGGCGAAGGAGTTTTCTATTGATGGGACGGAACTAGAATCTAACCGTGGGCACCATGGTCCGATTTTTCATATCCGTTGGGCTCCTGATGGAAACTCGTATGCAACCGGCGCAGAGGATGGAATGGTGCGTGTTTGGCCATCTCACGAGATCATTGAAAAGTATGAGAATGTTTCGTAGGGTTTGAAATTCTAAAATTTCCATCTTTTTATGCATTAGAAGGGAAGGATATCTGAAAAAGAAGAAACAGAAATCAAAAGCATGCAAGACAAAAAAAATCAAATGCACACCCATTTTGTCCTTAACTGTTGAATCCAATATTATTTGGAGGAGCAAGCGCTGACGAAAATAAATTTTAAAGGTAAATGGGTAAGTAAAGTCTAAATGCTTCCTTCTAAAACCTAGTGTTTTAGTATTAACAATAACGATGGTAATTAGAAATGATCTAGAGATGTGAAAAGTTTCTTTTCGCTAAACGTGCCATCGACTTTTAAAATTATGAAATGCTATTCTGTTCTAATTCGCATTTTTTCACATTTTTGAGATTTATCCTTATTTTTCTTGATAGTTACAAAGGCACCATTTGCTTGCTTCTCATATAAAGAACCTTTTCTCCACAGTCATGTCATCCCCTGAATTTCGAAACTTCGCCCCTGCCGTTAACGGCAACCCTCAAAAAAAGCTCCCCTCTCAAGTGCTTTCCAAGAAGGCGCCCCCTAAAAAGTCATCTCCCAAGAAGGCATCCCCTAAAAAGTCATCACCCAAGAAGGCGTCTCCGAAGAAGGTTGCAGCTAAGAAAGCTTCTGTAAAGAAGGCAGCCGCAGGGTTTGCTGCCAAAAAGGTTGCTGCCAAGAAGGTTGTTTCCAAGAAGGCATCTCCCAAGAAGGTTGGTGCCAAGAAGGTTGTTGGCAAAAAGGCATCCCCCAGGAAGAATGTTGCCAAAAAGGCACCTGTCAAGAAGGCTGCTAAAGTATGAGATGGTACCTCCTGTGGGACTTTGAATAGATTATGATTAGACCTAATCTATCATAATCTATGACTACTGAAAAACGGTAGCATTTTATTCAGATGTCTACCATTTTTCAAAATCATAGAGAACCTTTTTTTATTTATTTTTACCCTTTTTTATCTGAAAATTACTCAATATCTGTTATGTTTCTTACCCTTTTTATTTTCAGTATTCCAATAATTACTTATATTTATTTCAACTCGGAAAATAAATGGGAAATGATATCATCAGAAATTACTAATATATATATCTTTTTTATTATTGAAAACTTTATCTTATTATCTAGTGGCTTTTTTGGTCATTCTTCATACTAGTATTTTCCTGATATTTCGAAATCTTTTTTTTATATTCAAAAATGACATTTTTTTTCATAATTCTATTTTGTATAAGAATTTTAGGTACATAACTAGTCTCGCTTTTTCTTGACCTATCATAGCTTTCCTTTCTTCTACAATAATACGCATATACTTTCATCTAGGCTAACATCAATGGGAGCAGCATCTTCTAAACCTGCTCGGCAAGCTCCCGTACGTTTCGTAGCTAAACGAATGCCCCGCGTAGACAAGACGACAGCTGAAGAGCAATTTAAGAAACCTCAGTTTACTGCACAAGGCATCAACACACGACAAGATGATGTCAACACCGAGCCCTTAATGTATGTAGAATCATCCAAGGATGCTAATAGCACGGAGTTAACTGACCACTCCGCCCCACGATGGTATATTAACACATACATGGAGATGCTCGATAATGTTCGAACGAATCAAACCATTATCTCCGGGAATCTACCACTCTCCTGGGAGCGCGACAAGTACGAGCCGTACTCTTTGGTGCGCGACCGAATCGATGACGAAGATTTGCAGTGGGTTTTAGCACCTGAGCAGCGAAAAATGAGTTTGGATGAATTAGTGCAGCACACCAAGTTAGCGCCTCATGCCCTACAGGATATTTTAGATACTGTTGAGCTTCCCCGTACGCAGTATCGAAACTACAAAGGTAAGCTGCACAAATCTATTGAAGACGCCAATAAGCATATGGAGGTTCGGAAAGAACAGCTAGAACGTGCGCGTGAAAGTGAAATTCTTCGTCAAATTGGTTATTCCGATGAGGAGATTGCCAAGGATGAACAATATCTAACTAACAGGCCACGAGGTTTAAAGACACTAGATGATCTTGGTGTAAGTTTGCGCAAGAAGGAGCAACTAGAACGGACTATTAAGATGAATGAATTGGATGAGATGCTGAAGGAACGAGACATTGAGCAGATCGAAAGCGGTGAGCTGAAGCTAACGGAGGAGATGCTTGAGAAACCCAAAAAGATGTTTTACCGTCACAAACCTTTTGATACGCGTAAGGGCACCTACGAGCGGATGTATGCCGCGGATATTGGCAAAGATGAGGTCAACAGAGAGAAACTACACTGGTGGTTCGATAGGCGAAATAAGGTGCGGCGGGGTGTCGACAAGATTCACGGGGTTGCCAGGTACAACGATCGTCTCACAGCTAATGAAGAGCAAACGCGCCAACAAATGCAAGAAGCTAGAAACTTTAGTTATGATTTAGCAAGATCTCAAGGTGCTAAGGGCTTCACCGATCCCGCTGGCCATTTTGAGGATATGATTGCGATGATGCGGTACAATAAATCCGTATCTGGAGCTGAGGTGACGACTGAAATTCAAGAAGACGGGGTAACCGAACAATACGATATTTACAAATTTCCACATATCAAACCACACATCAAAACTTCTTCTGAAAGCCTGGTGCGTAATCGTGACGAAATGCAAGCTAGTGATACTCAAACGGATCTGTTCTCAGCCTCTAGTCTTCCTGACTCACCGCCTACCGCTAGTGTTTCTTCTGAGGTTGGGGTGGATAGTCTTGTTAAAAAGAAATCTGCTGCTTTGACCCAAAAGCCGCCGACTGTCTCTGGGGCCTCCATATGTGGAGAAAATAAAGACAAGAATGACTAGTCTTCACAAGTCTCCTTCAGTTTTTTCCATTGTTAGAGGCTCTTTCAAAACCATTTTCCTTACTTTATTATTATTATTCAGTATTTTATGCGAATGAATACTGATGTCTTACACTGATATCTTTACATTAGAGTGTGTTTAGTTTTTAAGCAATAAGTAATCTTATATACATAAACGTATATGCAATGTACTTTTGCTTTATTATCGTCTTAAATTACTTACTGGAGGATTTTCCTGAGGTCCTTGTGTTTATTTAGTACAATATTTGCATTATTCACAAAATAATTAAATTAATATTATTTTTAGTCGCTGCAACAAAGTAACTCCGCTTTTAATGAAAACATGATGAATTTTGACCCGTTAGCATCTTTCGCTTTTTTTTGTACTATTATTATTGACCGAACCATTATTGAATATACATGCATATTCCATCATAGCGCAACTTCTACAGACTATATAGGTGTTTCAATAATATTACTGAGTTTATTTATACTATTACAGCCTGATCTTAGCAGGTTTGCACATCAATTTACTTGTTCATCTTTATTGTGTTTGTGTTTATTCTCTTGCAACATTAGAAAGGGGAATCACCAGCAGTATTCCAGAGTATATTAATACGGAAATTCATGTCTTCGGTGCCGATTTTAAGCAAGAAACTCCGCGAGTTGGAGAAACAGGCCAATTTTTTACGCAATGAGGTAACAAATCTAGAGGCGACGAAACGCGATGTGTTATTCAGCGAATCCACACAAAATCGATCAGAGGAGATTCAGCGGCAAAGCCAGGAGGAACAATTGCAAGATCTGAGTTCCAATTTTCTGGATCGAAACAAGAGCATGAATCGATCGTTGCAAAAGAATAGGCTCGCTTTTCATTTTCCAGACCTCGTTGATCAAGCCAACAAAAAGATCGGCGATGTGCAGTCCACGGTTAGAACTCATCACGAGCTGAACCTGGAGAAGGAGAGATTGATATCTATATTGGGAAATCTCGACCACGACGTTCAACACTTGGAGGAGAACTACAAGGAATTGTTGCGACTGAACAGCTCAAACGAGGATGGCGACACACGACCTGAGCTCTTTGCCAAATCATACGATGAACTTAAGAATGAACTTCAGGAGCTGGTTGAACTGTACCGTGAGCGTGAACTTCTCCAAAAGCAACTGAACAATCAATCCTCAGAGCTTTGGCGCCTTTCCACGTTAATGCAGGACACGGTGAATGCCTATGAACAAAAGAAAGAGGCAGTGAACGTGCTAGCGGAGAAAACCGCCAAACTACAAGAGTTGCGGGATAGGCGAATTCAATTGGAGCACCTGGAGAAGACAAAAAATAGTCAGTTTGAAAAGAAGACCAACATCCGACCGGAGGAGGAGGCGATTAAAAGTGCAAACAATGATTTTAACGTCGCCATTTGGGCTATGGAGCGGGAGGATGATCAACTCAAAAGTAATGATGCCGCCATTCGGCACCGCGCCATGCAAATTGCAAAAAGCCAAAAACGTCTAGAGCTGATTGGGGAGGCCGTCTCTACCGGCGAGTCGGATGGTGAGGAACGCGTGGATGTCGAGGTGGCCGATCATTTGGTGTCGGAGATTAACGCCATGTACGACTTACATGCCGAGGCATGCGCCCACATGGATAAGCTAGATGCGGATATTGAGAAAATGGAGTATAAAGTCCGCGCCATCAATCAAGCCATTCTAGGGGCTAAAAAGGAACTGCGTACTGTTAATGACAGCCGTATGCACAAAATAAGCCTCCTTAGGAAGGAAATTGTTCGTGAACAAAAAGCTAACAATTTTAATATCGCTGCGTTGGAAAAAGAGGTAGAAAAAGTTCGGAAAATTTGCATTAATAAACAGCAGCTTTCCAAGGGCCGTCGTAGTGCTAAGATGCGTCAGACTTCTAAAGCATAACGCTAGAATATTGAATAAAAGCTATAGATAATTTTGGAGCGACGTGAATTTTGAAGGGAACAATATTTTGAAAACAAATTCCCTCCAAAAAGGAAAAGGTTCATTTCCCTGAGCGTTTAAATACTCTGGCTGAACAAATATACTAAGGAGAAGTCAAATAATAACAGACAGCTTTGTTTTCTATTGCACTTAAGCATGTTTAGTATATGCGCATAGCGCTAACCTTGTGTTCTAAATTAGTTATTCGAATCACAGCGGGTGCTTTTGTCCACTTTTAGATTAGTTTAGTTGTTTTATTTTGTGGTGTGGTTAAGCTTTTCATTTTTCTATTTTTTGATCTAAAGTGACAGTTATCACCCTTTTGTTAAAATCCAGGAAAACACTGTGAAGGATAGAATGAAAAAATAGACTACCGGAGATCTATAGGGCAAGTAAGCTTGAAGAACAGAATCGGGAGTGTATATTTATAGAATGATATTAACTCAAAGCTATTTGTAGATATAAAATGCATGCATAAGTATATATACATTACTATATTTTTATCTGAATTTCCTACATCTTTCATATACCAACTTGAAAGTGGAAAAATAAAAAGGAAAATGAAAGGCCCATCCGCACAAATGTCGTGAATTTTTTTCTTATTCTTGTTTTATAATCATTATTTGTCTTATGAAAGGAAAGCTCTCCTTTAGATATCGCTTCATATTGGCTGTTCTTTAAGATTGTAAATCCATTGAAATATGAAGACTGAGGAAGAATCTGACCATTTTTATTGATTTTGATGAACTCACTGGATTGTAGTCATGACTTTAAAAAATTTATAACTACATTTTCTCCTGCATTTCAAACCGTCTTGTATTTTTATCCATGACATTACAGTTATTCAACCGATAATTCCTTTCTTTTCAGTCGGAA